AATGAATTCAATTTATTAGCGACTTTATTTTTATCAAATTCTATCTTGCCATCAATATCTAGACCTAACTTAGATACAGAAAATTTTGATTTACCAATTGAATGGAACCTATTTAACACCTTCCACAGAGATTTAGGATCTTCTTTGTTTTCTTGAATTTGTTCCTTAATAAAATTACGTTTTGCCTCCTTTATATTTTTCTGTCCTAAGTTTCTAAGTGCTTTAAATTTTAAATAGTCTTCCTGGTTCTTAGTTCTTCTATAAATCGAGAGAGCCCTATTCCTATTTTTTTATATTTTCAAAATTTTCTGATCCATCCAAGGACTAGCTCTTTGCTTAACTCTCACCTGTCTAAGGGGGGAAATTTTGTCCACTACTTTAAGAAATAGAACTTTAAAATTTTTCCAAGCATCGTCAACTATTGAGATATTTTGAATATCATTCCAATTAACTCTTTTAAGATAGTCTTTAAAAACTTCAATATTATATTTTTTTAACGATCTAATTCGTACTGTTTTATGATTACTAAATCTTATTTTACTACGTTTTCTTGTACAAAAAATGATATAATGATCACTGATACCATATTCAATTACTCCTTTCTGGGAAATATATTTTTCATCAGATACCAAAATAAGATCGATGTCGAGAGAGCCCTATTCCTATTTTTTAATATTTCCAATATTTTCTGATCCATCCACGGGCTAGCTCTTTGTTTAACTCTCACCTGTCTAAGGGGGGAAATTTTGTCCACTACTTTAAGAAATAAAACTTTTAAATGTTTCCACGCATCGTCAACTATTGAGATATTTTGAATATCATTCCAATTAACTCTTTTAAGATAGTCTTTAAAAACTTCAATATTATATTTTTTTAACGATCTAATTCGTACTGTTTTATGATTACTAAATCTTATTTTACTACGTTTTCTTGTACAAAAAATGATATAATGATCACTGATACCATATTCAATTACTCCTTTCTGGGAAATATATTTTTCATCGTAGAGGGGACCAAGGCTAAGGGAGAACTGAGGGTTTACATATAGGGAGCAAACAAAGGAACTGACTAATTAATTAATCATACACAGGTGAACAGAATGACAATCAGGAAACTAAGGAAAACTAGGACACAGGGGAACAGGCCAACTGAAAACACAATGAAAACTAGGACAAAAACCAAACATAACCCTAACCGCGTGTTTATTTCAACGTGAGCAGCTCATGATACTGTTTCCTCTGGAAGCTTTTGTTCCACCAAGAAACAATGAAATCAAAATTTTTATCTCACAATAAAGACTTTTGTGGCAGTTCTGAGTTTCTATCTCACAATTTTGACTTTTTAAAAATTCTTTAATAGAAACTCGAGAGAAAAAAAGAATTGTGAGATAAAAAGTTGGAAACAAATTTTTATCATGAGCTGCTCACGTGTAAATGAACACAGTGTCGTGCTTCACTCGGAAACACACAGAAAGACGTCAATTTAATCGCAGCCTTTACGATCCGATAGCTGCACTATAAGCTATATCACAATTTTTATCAGTTTTATTTCAATGAATCATGTAGCCATACTTCGGTATGATTTGCATTAATGCAGTTGACCTGAGTTTGACTTCAGTCAAAATTGCTGCTCTCTCTGCTCATATTGATCTGCAGTGTGTTTGCCGTGTCGTGCTAGCATGCAGAAGGAAATCTATCTCTGGCCTCTTGTAGTGAAACCTGATGCGGAGGCTTTGGTAAATATGCAGCACAGATCCATCAGTAGCTCCATTTCTCAGCACGACTCAGATTGATTTAGTGACTCTTAAGATGCTTCAGCCATGGATGTGTTTCTTTATCGTACTAATGGACAGAGAGAAAGAGCGAGAGGAGGAAGTGCTGTTTATTTCAGCTTTTAAACTGTTTCTCTCTGCAGGTCACTGTCAGGTAGTGTTTACTAAGTGAACAGGCCTTGAGCAAACAAACAGCTTTAAAGCATTACAGTTTAGTCATGTTCAATTAGCCGCAAGCAAGTGCTGCTGTTGCCATGTATGAGTTCAGAATGAAATACACACTATTCATTATGCAATATGTACTGTAAGCGCAAGATATAGATGAATTTATTGGGAGCAGATTTAGAGAAATTTAGCATGATATCAATTGCTCATCAATGGATCCACTTCAGTGAATGGGTGCCGTCAGAATGAGAGTCCAAACAGCTGATAAAAACATGCACAATAATCCAAAACGTGCATTTAAGTTATCTGGTCTTTCAGAATGTCCAGAGAACATTCAAACGCAGCATGCCCATGCTCGCTAAATGATCAAATCATTTTTTTAATTCACATAACCACGAAAAACCTGGATGTTTTGAAATAATGATCTACTGTTAATGAAAATGTATGAATTTATGATCTATAAATATATATATTTTTTGAGAATTTATGTTCTATAAATAATGAAATCTGAAATAATGTTTTTATAACGTATTGAGAACAAAAAACGTTCTTATTGAACGGAGCTTCCTTGGCTTGAAAAAAACATATTTAATAGATCGTTCTGATGGGTCGTGGACAGTAGAGAAAAAAATAAATGTTAAATACAACTAATAAAATTAAACAAACTGTAAAATTATGCATATTTTGTATATATAATTTTAAACTTAAAGGGAGGCCAGAAAACTTCCTATATGTTTAGTTGTTGACATAAAAGGCAGAGCGTCCAATTAAACTGATATTTTAGTGAACATTCATCTAAACAAGGCATAAATGGACAGTTTGTGTGACATAAATGTACACACGGTGAAAGAAAATTAGACCCAGAATCTATTAAATAAATACAAGTTCACTTGCAACAAAGAAGTTGCTGTAAATTATAGCCGGCCAAGAGCATGAACCCTTTTTTAAAAGGTTAACTCTATAAATCACCTTAGCCAATGTTTATCCATTTAGGAAATTGAATTGTATTATGCCGTTCATGGCAAAATTAAATACATTGCAGTGTCTGGTTGTATAAGGACATTCTGTTTCAGAAACAGTTTTCTTTTTGGCCGCCACTTCAAGTCCAATGTAAAATTTGAGTAACAGAACCAGCTGAGAGCCAATGATATAAAGATCCTTCATTAAATTACTGTACTTTATGGAAAATAAAAAGGGTTCTGCTGTTCATACAGGCAAAATAACCCAAATAGAGATGATCAGCGCTATCTTCACTAGAATATTATAGTGCAAGCAGGTGATGCAGCACGACACACACACCGAGAGAGAGAGAGAGAGAGAGAGAGAGAGAGAGAGATTTAGGATGCGTTTGTAATATCCGGGTTGGAAGGAGGGAGTGTCTCAGATTCCCAGCAGAAACACGCTGGAAAGAGCAGCGAGAGAGACGCGCTCCGCGGGAATATGGCATCGGGCAGAGGGAAGCGGAAGCGCAGCGCGGTGGAAACGGGTTCCAGCTCTCCGGTCATGATTTAGATCGGGATCCGGACCGCGATGGAAAAGCCGCTGTGTTCGTCGCAGCCCGCGGCCTCGCTCGGGTTCGGCGGGTCTCCGGCGGGGAACATCGCGCCGCTGCAGCGCGGACGCACGCGCGGGGTAGAGGGAGTGCTGAGCAAATACACCAACCTCATCCAGGGCTGGCAGAACAGGTAACACACCCGAACACGCTCAAGTGCGTGCTGAAGTTTACATTGACCGAGCTCAACTCCTGGCCGCAGTCTGTCATGTCATATTACCACAATAGCCTACGTGTGACATTAACTGCATTTTAGATCTAAATATGATTTATTTAGGTTGAAATACACACTATTCATTATGCAATATGTACTGTAAGCGCAAGATATAGATGAATTTATTGGGAGCAGATTTAGAGAAATTTAGCATGATATCAATTGCTCATCAATGGATCCACTTCAGTGAATGGGTGCCGTCAGAATGAGAGTCCAAACAGCTGATAAAAACATGCACAATAATCCAAAACGTGCATTTAAGTTATCTGGTCTTTCAGAATGTCCAGAGAACATTCAAACGCAGCATGCCCATGCTCGCTAAATGATCAAATCATTTTTTTAATTCACATAACCACGAAAAACCTGGATGTTTTGAAATAATGATCTACTGTTAATGAAAATGTATGAATTTATGATCTATAAATATAATTTTTTTTTTGAGAATTTATGTTCTATAAATAATGAAATCTGAAATAATGTTTTTATAACGTATTGAGAACAAAAAACGTTCTTATTGAACGGAGCTTCCTTGGCTTGAAAAAAACATATTTAATAGATCGTTCTGATGGGTCGTGGACAGTAGAGAAAAAAATAAATGTTAAATACAACTAATAAAATTAAACAAACTGTAAAATTATGCATATTTTGTATATATAATTTTAAACTTAAAGGGAGGCCAGAAAACTTCCTATATGTTTAGTTGTTGACATAAAAGGCAGAGCGTCCAATTAAACTGATATTTTAGTGAACATTCATCTAAACAAGGCATAAATGGACAGTTTGTGTGACATAAATGTACACACGGTGAAAGAAAATTAGACCCAGAATCTATTAAATAAATACAAGTTCACTTGCAACAAAGAAGTTGCTGTAAATTATAGCCGGCCAAGAGCATGAACCCTTTTTTAAAAGGTTAACTCTATAAATCACCTTAGCCAATGTTTATCCATTTAGGAAATTGAATTGTATTATGCCGTTCATGGCAAAATTAAATACATTGCAGTGTCTGGTTGTATAAGGACATTCTGTTTCAGAAACAGTTTTCTTTTTGGCCGCCACTTCAAGTCCAATGTAAAATTTGAGTAACAGAACCAGCTGAGAGCCAATGATATAAAGATCCTTCATTAAATTACTGTACTTTATGGAAAATAAAAAGGGTTCTGCTGTTCATACAGGCAAAATAACCCAAATAGAGATGATCAGCGCTATCTTCACTAGAATATTATAGTGCAAGCAGGTGATGCAGCACGACACACACACCGAGAGAGAGAGAGAGAGAGAGAGAGAGAGAGAGATTTAGGATGCGTTTGTAATATCCGGGTTGGAAGGAGGGAGTGTCTCAGATTCCCAGCAGAAACACGCTGGAAAGAGCAGCGAGAGAGACGCGCTCCGCGGGAATATGGCATCGGGCAGAGGGAAGCGGAAGCGCAGCGCGGTGGAAACGGGTTCCAGCTCTCCGGTCATGATTTAGATCGGGATCCGGACCGCGATGGAAAAGCCGCTGTGTTCGTCGCAGCCCGCGGCCTCGCTCGGGTTCGGCGGGTCTCCGGCGGGGAACATCGCGCCGCTGCAGCGCGGACGCACGCGCGGGGTAGAGGGAGTGCTGAGCAAATACACCAACCTCATCCAGGGCTGGCAGAACAGGTAACACACCCGAACACGCTCAAGTGCGTGCTGAAGTTTACATTGACCGAGCTCAACTCCTGGCCGCAGTCTGTCATGTCATATTACCACAATAGCCTACGTGTGACATTAACTGCATTTTAGATCTAAATATGATTTATTTAGGTTTTTTGTTTTTTTTGTCATTTGCCTTTTTTAGTTAAATTTAGGTTAGTTATTCAGTTATGATATTTCATTGGTTCATTAGATACTCGTGTTATATGTAAACACTGTTATATACTTCTGTACTTATGTGACAGATGACCATAAAACGACCACATTGTCCAGTGTGTCATAATGGTCGATTTTTTTAAATTGAGATTTATACATCATCTGAAAGCTTTCCATTGAATGTATGGTTTGTTAGGATCGGACAATATTTGGCCGAGGTACAACTATTTGAAAATCTGGAATCTCAGGGTGCAAAAAAAATAAAATAAATAAATATCGATCGCCTTTAAAGTTGTCCAAATGAAATTCTTAGCCATGCATATTACTAATCAAAAATTGAGATTTGATATATTTACGGTAGGAAATTTGCTAAATATATGCCATACATGGAACATGATCTTTACTTAATATACTAATGTTTTTTGGCATAAAAGAAAAATTGATAATTTTGACCCATACAATGTATTGTTGGCTATTGCTACAAATATACCCGCGCTACTGGTTTTGTGGTCCAGTGTCTCACACACACACACACACACAGGTTTGTTTTTATGGTTTATGGGGACTCTCCATAGGTGTAATGGTTTTTATACTGTACAAACCGTATTTTCTATTGCCCTACACCAACCCTGCCCCTAAACCTACCCCTTACAGGAAACTTTCTGCATTTTTAGATTTTCAAAAAAACTCATTCTGAATTATTTATAAGCCTTTTGAATTACGGGAACACTGAAAATGTCCTCATAAATCACCTTCTCATTGTAATACCTATGTCATACCCATGTTATTATACAAATTTGTGTCCTCATAAACCACATAAACATGCACACACACACACACACACACACACACACACACACACACACATATATATATATATATATATTCTACACTAGGTTGTGTCAAATGTCAAAAGTTTTTAATGAGGCCATAAAAACTTATAGTTAGATAGAATTAAATAGCTCTGAAAAAAACAGTGTCGAAAATTTTTAGATTAATTATAGTCAGAAATAAGATAAGGTATGGACGTATTAACACACACCCATAAATCTGGCTTTTGAACTCACATATTGCAAATATTTTGTGGTTATGATTCTCATATCTGCTGTGTATTCTGGCATAATGTGACTAAAATTTCCTGATGTCCTTCATTGCCAAAGTGTTGCATCATAACAAAACTTCCTTATAATCCCCCATATTGAAGCCACATGTTTGCTTTTGTGTTTGTAGAGTTAAAGTGAAGCATTCAAATGCTAGAAATGTGTTTTTGTATTTGTTGAGTTAAAGCTGAAGTCATCCTGATATGTTAGTCATTGAACAAACACTTGAGGTTGGTTCAGACTCGTTGCTCGTTTCACAGGAGATTCTGAGATGAACTGATATTCAGGAATAATTACACAAGAGATCAGGAACCAGTTTAATAAATAAACACACACACATGTTATCTAGATGAGAATCTGATCTTTGTACTTTAAACACAGTCCATCTGTAAGTAATAAAACAGTGCAGGCAGAAATAAGTTTCTTCACACACAAGGTCTATTTCAGGCTGCGTTTCATGAAGAGGATTGTGCAAATGTGTGTGTTTTAGGACGTTCTGACCTGTGTGTGTCTGTGCGATATTCACATCAGATTCTCTGCGGATGGTAACGTGAGTTTCCATTGACTCAATAGAGTCCGTCTGTTATGGGACTGTGAGATATGAGCTGCGATTATGATCATAAGAACCTAGAGGAAAATCATATTGCTCAGATGTTACTCTTTTAAAGATCAGGATCTCAGTTGTGAAAAATGTAAACATCATATTTAGGGCCCTATAAAATCCATTTTATTTTCTTCCCAAATTCCATGTTTTCCATTTAAATTTATCTGGATTCTGTTTTAATGGTTTAATGCTATATTTAATATATATATATATATATATATATATATTTTAAAATGTAATGAAATGAGAATATAGTGATTTAATTTGCAATAAAACATTGCATTTTATTTAGGTTTTAATTTTTTTTACAAATAAAGTGTGGCACAACAGAACTTTACTGTATAAATTACAACTTGGATGTTAAAATATCTGGATTATTATATTCCTTTATAAATGTTAATTAGCAATTATAAAATAATTAACAATAGTTCTTCATAAGGATTGTTATTTGGTAGCACTTTATTTTACAAACTACCCCTAAACTGAACCCTGACCCCATGTAGGTTAGTAAGTACATGTACTGTGCAACCTGTTATTTTTATTATTATTATACAAATATTATTAATAATAATAATCTAAAACAATAACGTTGTTGTTATTATTATTATTGATTACTTTGAGAAGTACATCTGAATGTACAATAGTAATATAACTCTATCATAACATCAAGTTAATTGAACTTTGTCTTTTATTTTGGTGGACTGTCATTTAGACTTTTGAGTTTTTGACATCGTTTTTAAGCATTATTTCCAAAAGAAATGGTGAATTGCTCATAAAATGCTCTTGGAGCAGCTCTGGAGATGAAGTTTATGTGGACTGCCATTGTAATATAGACACACAGAGCAAGCTGATTACATATTTAAATAGCAGTCAGTTTGCAGCTTCATATAGTCTATAATTCATATCGCGACTTGAATTTGATTTATACTATGGCCTTCCTTTTGATTTATTATGCCAAAAGATTTGATTCATTCTGCTCTTCATTTAATCTCCTGCTGTCTAGGAGAACTAACTGAGATATTAAAGAGATTTGTGATTTCTCTGTCCTGTATTCAGAGTTATTCATACCGTGGCTCAGGAGGAGATGAGAACATATGTTGACATTTGGATGGTGACAATGTAATGTTTCTGAGTTCAGCCTCGCACGCGCACACACACACACACACGCTCAGTGCTTGTTTCTCCGTGTTCAGCAGGACTGTCAGTCTCTGAGCTGGTGGACGTGACTCAAGCAGCTTTATGTTGTTGTCGTCAGGAGAGTGAAACAAGTAAATATAGTATGAATATATCAGATATGTGTTATTCATCCAATGTGTTTTTCTGTCCTTGATCTCAGTGGTTGTTTATAACATTTAATTCAGTTATCTTTAAGATCATAAATACCCTCTCTAGAGTTATTTAAACACCTCTTATAGGCAATATTATTGTAGTATCACTGAGATATCATACTTTTTTTTTTTATTAGTTTTTATTTTTATACTTCCCATTTTTAGTTAAATTTATTTTTATTTTTATTTTTTTTTTTACATTTCTAGTACTTTTTAAAAACATGTCTATATCATTTGTATTCATTTTTATTTCAGTTTTAAGTTTCAAATTAAATCAAATTAAAATTTTAATGTTGGAAATTAGCTGGAATAATAAAAAAAAAAGTTCAGTTAATGTTTATTTTATTCAAAATAATGATTTTTTTTATGTTAACTTTAATAACCCTGTTAAAGGTGACATTTCACCCCAAAATTAAAATTAAAATATATATAATTCATAAAATAAAATAAATAAAAGCTAATTTTTTAGGACTGTTAAGATGCATTATGCCATTATTTATTTTTATTTTTTTGAAGTCTCAATATTTTCTATAATATTATAATAATATAATATTATATATATATATAGAGAGAGAGAGAGAGAGATTTCAATAACCATAATTAAACTATGTACATGTGTTATGTACTACAACATTTACTACTATTACTATTACTACACTGAAAAAAATTATAAACGCAACACTTTTGTTTTTGCCCCCATTTTTCATGAGCTGAACTCAAAGATCTAAGACTTTTTCTATGTACACAAAAGGCCTATTTCTCTCATATTGTTCACAAATCTGTCTAAATCTCTGTTAGTGAGTCAAGTCAAGTCAAGTCAACTTTATTTATATAGCGCTTTTAACAATACAGATTGTGACAAAGTGTTTCCTGCAGAATTCAAAACATTCTATTTTTAAATAAAGTTGAAATATCACTTCTCACAACAGTGAATGTCTCTTTAACTAATAAACATTCAGTAGATGAGTCAGTAAATGTTAATCCAGTTACTGCTCTGATGCTTTCCACAATTTCATTAGACTGATTTAAACCCATAAATCATTAGTTTGCATATGTTTTGCACACGCATAACACAAATCTGTGTTGTCATTGCTTTTATTTTACACCAGCACTAAATAAAGTGGCAGGAAACATTGTCGGTTTTCAGAGCAAAACTTACAAACTATTCAAAAGTTTATGGCAAAATGTAACTTTTTATTATTATTGTTATTATTAAAAAAAATGAATACTTTTATTCAGCAAGAATGCATAAATTTGATTAAAAGTGACATTTATAATGTTATAAATATAACGTATAATTTACATTATATTTAATATAAATATAAATTACATGAACATTATATTATATATGTAAGGATAATGTAAAAGATTTTATTAATGTAAAATATTTCAAATAAATGCTGTTCTTTTTTTTACTTTTTATTCATTGAAGAATCCTGAACAAATGTATCACTGTTTCCACAAAATTATGAAGCAGCACAACTGTTTTCAGCATGATAATAATCAGAAATGTTTCTTGAGCAGCAGATCAGCATATTAGAATGATTTCTGAAGATCATGTGACACTGAAGACTAGAGTAATGATGCTGAAAATACAGATCTGATCATTGGAATAAATTACATTTTACAATATATAGACACAGAAAACAGCTATTTTAAAATGGAATCATATTTCACATTATTAGTTTTTAGTTTATTTCAAGTAATGAAAATGTTTTTTTTTTTAGGTTTTAGGTTTTAGTTTGAGTTAACTATAATAAACCTGCTTACAGATCACAG